GCAGGGGGATGTGGGGAGCCAGCATGTGTCTTCTAAGGCAGGGGAGGAGACACACAGAACTGACTGGCTGGGATGTGTGCAGGGAACTGATGCACCGCTCAGCTGGGCTGCAGGTGTGGGAAGGAGCCAGGATTCCCAGTGTGGGGGAAACAGCAGGGGACCTGATATGACCTCCCTTGGTCTGGAAAATCCCTCCTCCGGGACCAGTCAGGTATCGAGGGTGCCAGACCTGAGAGGTCCAACCCCTATCCCAAGTCCCCTCCTGCACCCTCCCTCTTGGCCAGACACTCTGCTCCCAGTCTGCTCCTGCACACTCCCTCTTGGCCATACAACCCTACCCCCCACCCAGCTCCTGCATCCACTGTTGCTCCTGCACTCTCCCTTCTTGCCACATACTGCACCCTCCCTTGGTCCTGCTCCTTCCCTCTGGCTAGACACCCTACTCCCAGCCTGCTTCTGCACCCCAACTCCCACCCAGACTTTGCATCCTCACTCGCTTTTCTGCACCCCACCTCCTTCCCAGATCCTGCACCCCCTCTCTATCCCACTCACTGGCAGCCCTGTCCCACACACTGAACCCCTCATTTTTGTCACTACCCCAGAACCTAAGGAGGTCCATAAAATCCACCAGAAAAGAAAATCTGGCCTATTAAAAGCCCTGAACCTCAGTCCTCCCTGTCCCTTCCCCTTGCCCTGTGGTGCTGAAATGCCAGAGGAGTGAGTTATCTCAGTTGGGGGCCACAGTGAGCATTGGGGGTTGTTCAAGGAGTATTTTTGCTTCTCACTTGTGTTATTTTTCAACTGATTTTTCTGTGATTCAGTGGCACCCAACCCAAAAAAGTTTCTCCAACCCTGTGATAAATAAATAAAACATTGAAACCTTTAGTGTTGGACACAGGTTCATATTTTGCTTTATTTAAAATGAAGTTTGATAAACTAACATGATGAAGTTAAAATGCTTAATCTGTTTACTAATATAAACCCTTCTCCCTAGCTGCAGCACTAAGAAAATGGCTTGGGTGTAATTATGTAATTAACAGTGAGTTCCCATTAGCAGCTGGTAGTGATCTGCAGACAGGTTTACATTGAGCCATGCGGTTCATGGGCCAAAAAGTTTGAGACCTACTGAAATAGAGGCACCCCCAAGTTAATGCAATGCAAGTTGGATTAATGCAATTGCAATATAATTGCATGGGGGGTCCTATGGAGCCCAAACCCATCCCTGTTGGTAGAGGACAGTGGGAGGAGTTCTTAGAGGGGTCACATGACACCCTTTACTTCCGGACATGTGTCCATCTTGACCCTGGAAATACTACCTCCAGGGGTGGGATTTCCTATGGCAGATGAGTGTGATCTAAGGGATCAGGGGGCATGGCTAATGAGGCCAGGCGGTGTGGATCCCCCAGCAGGGTGGGAGGAGTGGGAGGAGAGAGTGGCAGTGCATGGAGTGCACTTGCTCAACCCGAGCGCACCCGTCCCCTCAGCACCCCTGCTGGCCTCCAGCGGCAGCTCCAAGGCACCGAGGTCCAGGAGTGGCTCTGCCGGGTTTTGCAGCTTCCTCAGACCCACTTTGCACCCTCCCCTCCAGCAGCGGCGGGTCCTGTAAGAAAGAACAAGCAGCCGCCTGGAGCTGAAGAAGAAGGCAGCCGTGGTGCGACCAGAGCCCCGCTCCCCAGAGGCAGTCCCACAGGGGAAGGGAGGGGGCCATGCAGCCAATCAATATGTAGTATCTTGTTAGTTCTACTGAATGTGCATTATTTTAGAAAGCCCCATCAGACATTGGAAGTTTCAGCTTTACAGATGAACAACCAGTCCGGCAAGCCCCCATCACCTCTCCACCCACTGTGGTTGCCCCACTACCGCGCACCATGTGGCTGGTCCAGGGGCGGCCCTGCATGTCAGAGGCAGCTGCAGTGGATGGAAAGGCGGCAGAGGTTTGCTGGGCGGCAGGACGTACTGCGCTCGGGCAATGCTCTGGACTCCAGCTTGCGATCCACGTACCACCAGAAACTGGACACATGCCCACTGGCAAAACAACAAGGGAACCTCCTCCATGCTGGAGAGTCAGGGGGCATGTTACAGCTGTGCCATGCTAGGGCGTGTCCCTGCCAGGCTGTCCCAGTCGGGGGAAGGGAAGTGGCAGTGCATAGACTCATTTCTGGCTTGCTTCTTCTCGGCAAGCTGGATCTGGCAGGCCTTTCCAGGACAAATAGGGTACGTCTACACTACAGCGCTAATTTGAACTTAGTTCGAATTAGTTAATTCGAACTAAGCTAATTCGAACTAGCGCATCTAGAACTAAAAACTAGTTCGAATTAGCGTTTTGCTAATTCGAACTAGCGCGTCCAC